ACTACACTGGTTGTCAGAAAGATGAATGTGAGCAGGAGCACAAGCGGGAGAGAGCCACTTTGCAGCCTGTCTCTGCTGTGTGTGACTAGTAGCACATATTCATGTTAGTAATGGATGGACTTCGACCTTCTCAGGCTATGCAGGTTTAATGTGACCGACCATGCCCCCAGTATTGTGTTCTCCCTAACACAGTGAGTAGGGGGAATTCTGATGGAAGAGCCTGACTGTTCAGCCAGCTTCTTAGAGACGACTGCAAAAATGCCTTGGTGAATGTTGGAGGTGATCCTGTGCACCTACATGACCTGATTTTTTTTCCATCAGAAGTTGAGCTATTCTGTGTGAAGTGCTGGGCACTGACATATATCTATCTGCAGACATCCTTTAGGAATGTTCTTTAGTACTTTTTAACCTCCTTCTCTTCCGTGCCCTATAGGAAGGAAAAGAGATGCAGTAAGTAGGACCACCACCATCATTGTAGTAATGAGTGTCTTGTAAGTATTCACTTGCATTAAAGTGTTGCTTGACTCAAGCTCATCTTGGTTTTTATCTGTGTTTGTTCCTCATTTGCATCTTAAGATTGCATGTAGCAAGATAAACTAATTTGAGTGGAACATGTGGGTATAAAAGGGGGATGGATTGACTTGGAAATGACATGTGGGATGAAAATGCTGACTTGCCAAAATAGTCTACCTTACAGGTTTACTTGGGTCTGAACCTATTAAAAAATGAAGTCTAGAATCTACTAATTCCTAATTTTAGAAGTTCCAAGAAGAGATACTGTTATTTTTTTGCTATTACCCAGCTTAATGGTAACTGCTAGGAATTGTTCAGATAGATACTAATTTTCAGTATAGTGCTGCTCCACCCTTTTTTTTCCCACGATGCTGGGAGGATTCTGTTTCCTTAGCTGTCTTGAGCCGAGATCTTGTGTTTGTAGCATTGCAACTGAAACTGTTGCAAAACTTGATTTTTGTTCTCTTTTATCTACAGTTTGCTGCTCTTGGTCTTGCTGAATATAACACTGTTCCTGAAACTCTCAAAGATAGAGCATGCAGCTCAGTCCCTTTATCATGTCCAGCTTCAGGAGGAAAGCTCTTTGAAGTAAGTTGAGTTCACAATATTTGCTTTCTTTCTTCTTCAGCTTATGTGAGAATCTGATCTGAAGAAATAAATTATAAACAATGAAGTTGAGTGGTAAGTTTTCAGAAGTGGCTGGGGCTGGCTGTATTCTGTGGTCTATGCTGAAATCCAGTGACATGTCTGACTGCATCTTGCAGTAATAAATTTCTTCTTTGACAAGCTGTTTTGGGAGAAGTGTTAACCTTAGTTTGCATTTGTCAGCCTGCTGTGACTCATCTTCTGTGAATATCATAGTGCTGATCACAGAACTGAAGTGTTCATCCTGTGTGAACCAGCATGTTCTCAAATGGAATGTTAAAGATTCATTTAGCTTTTTAGCTTCTCTCTGTGAGTCTCCTAAATCTCCTCTCCTTCACAAACTTCCATGTTGGTGCCTTTTGTACTCAGACACAGAAAGATGTTGCTTCCTCTTGAATACAATATCAACAAAATAGTTAAAAACCATATCCTGATTTTGAGTCTGGAAGAGATGTGGGCACCGACCATAGTGACAGTCTCAGAACTGGTTAGAGTGACGTTCTTCCTAAGAGGGATCTTGCTCCCTGGATTGTGGACCTTACATTGTAAACATAATGTGAGCACAGTTTTTTCCTGGTGGCTGTTGCCTGCAAAGGTCTGAGGTACTAGGTTCAAGAAAACAGGGATTGGAATTCAACTGCAGGCAGCTTTGTATGTGGCTTTTGTAAGAGGATGCTCTTAGCAGTGGCAGAGTGATGCTGGCCGAGAACAGTTGCTTTTAAAAAGGCATTGAGGTGCGTGTTTCATGTTCCTGACGGAATCTCAATCTTTTTCAGCATATCCCCAGAAATTGTATCAAAAGAGGAGATACCTCAATATGATAAGGAACAGGTTAAACATGTGAAGGGAGTTTTAAGAGACTCAATTGAAATGCTTGAGCAGGTAGGTCTGAAAATCTTTCCTGGTGATATTCTTGTTTCTCAACAAATCAAGTTTTCTCCCTTGTGTTAACATAGCTTGATGTGGTCTGGTGCTAGATAAAGTTTTCTTGATCTGTTTTGCCCTAGGCTTGAGTTTAGTTAACAGGCAGTGCTTATGTTTCTGATGTTTTGGGTTGCTTTGGTTTTGAATTTGTTTCTTGGAGGGTTGGGGGTTTTTTTTGTTGCCTGGTTTTTGTTTGGGTTTGTTTGTGAGTGGGTTTGTTTTGTTTTGTTTTTTGTTGGTTTGGGTTTTTTATTTGACTAAGATGTAAATACTCATGTCAATTTTCTTAAACTTGTCAAGTGCTTAAGAAATGTGTTAATGCAGTTCTGAATCACAACAAAGGAAAGACTGGAGTATTTCAAAACAGATTCCCTTTTCTAAGAACACTCATATTAAGATTTGTCAAGTGTTTTTCCATCTTATTATGGAGTTTCTTCATTCAGGTTTATCCTGCTATTTGCTCCCCACTACTTTTCTAGATATTGGCAAGAGCTTCATTTAGCATTGGTATCAGGGGGCCACCTAATCTCCAGTGAAAAAATAAATTATTTATGCAGACCATATATTTCTGAGAGGCTCCATAGAAGATAATCCTCCTTCACAGTAACTTTAAATTTCAGGCTCTTGTATACTACAGGCACAAAAAAACCCCAAAAACTAAGAAATATGTTGAATACTGTTGTGTCTCTCTGATGCTGAAGTCCATGACTGTTAAATCCTTACAATCCCTAGGCTGAAATTTTAACTCAATACCTGAAGGACAGTAAATTCCTGCTTCAGTTTTTACTTACCACTCAGAAATATTCTGATTTTAACTTCATTTATTATATCTTGAAATGAGATGGAATAAATTACTAGTTTAGGAAAGCTGGAGGGGGAGTTCCCATGTACCCTTCTCCATTGTTTGCTCTTTGTTCTTCCATGTAAGTACCCATGTCAATTTTCTCCACTAAAGGAGGTTAGAAAAAGAAGCCATTTCTTATATTCCTCCTTTAGAGGTGTCTCTGCTTGCACAACTGCTATTAATCTATTAATTAACCACTTTGATCACAACTTGAAAAAGCCTGAGTGCTGGAAGTTTCACTTTAGAGATGAAATTTTCTGGTTTTCATGCCCTTTTTATTTTCTCTGCTTACTGTTCAAATAGTTCCTAATTCTGAAGTGTTAAGTGCTTTTTGAACACAGAGTGTAAAAAAAGAAAAGTGAGAATTTAGCTACCTTTTTCATCCAGAATAACACTTTTTGTCTGGAAGTCCTGACACATCTTAATGCTTGCTACGTTGTGTTTTCTGAGGATTGTCAATAATCTAAACATGTTTTGTGCACCAAAATGCACTCGGAGGGCCAGGTAATAAAAGGAAATTCATGTTGTGCTGCCATGTTCCTTGGAGTATTTGCACTGAACGTTATCTGTGACTAAAAATGGGTGGGGTGGTTTATCTTCTGTGTTGTTGTCTGGTGAGGTGTTAAGACTTTATCATCCTGGACTGTTACTATTTATAAACTCTAGAGTGTAGCTGTTAGGAGAGCACAGTAAGCCAACTGTTTATGGAAACAGGGAGGAGGAAATCACATGAAATCTTTAAAAGAAAAGGAGGAGGGAGACTTTATTTTCCTGATATCACTCACCCATGCAGGAGACTGACTTAAGTAATTGGTGGGGGGGTGGATTATATCTTCACAGCTGAAGATTTCCCTTTCCACGCTCCAGAGAAGCTTTGACCACTTGAACAGGACACAGAGCAGCAAGACTGAGAGTTAATATCCACATCAGCTTTTCTTTCAAGACGTTGGAAGAACAGATACGTGTGTGTGAGGACTTGTGGGATAGGGACTGTAACTGTCTCCTCTGGACTCTTTACTGTTGCACAGAATAAAGGTTTGTGGAAGAAGTAAGTCGGGTTCTGCATTGCCATAGCTTGGCACTCTTGTCTCGCCTGCCAGCCTTCTTCCCTGGGTAGTCTCAATTCCAAGCAGTGCAGAGCTCTTGGATCCATCCCAGGGTGAGTGAGTGAGGGCAGTTGTACTGCTGGTGAATGGATGTGAACATTTCAGAGGGGGAAAAACACCCTCAGCAGAGAGCTGTGTTTGTCTCTTAAGAAATTGCAGCTTTTTATGTCAACGTAGAAAATGACCATCAGTGGAAGAGTGTTTTGGAGCAAAAAGAACATTAGTGGATTCACAGACACAGGATCTTCATAGGCTTTTTTTAGCCATGGGGACCTTGTAAAACAAGTCGCCATCTTAAGGATGAATATGCCTAAGATTAATTAACAGGAAAGGGTTTGATATCTCTTGCATACGGCAAGCTTTGGCAGGCTGCCTTCTGCCATATGTTTCCAGCTCTCCCAGAGAAATTTCAGCCCTCGGTGTTTTCCCTCCATCAAGGGCTGTGCTTCAGTGCGGTGTGCCCACTGATGATGAAACTCCTTTTCATGTGCTTCAAGCGTTTTCCAAGCTGCTTGAGGGAAAGAAGATGAATACAGAACGAAAATCCCAGAGAATGCAAGGGCCCCCTCCCTCGAGTTTGGGCCGTATTAGGAGGGCAGCGCTGGCTCGGGCGGTGCACAGCCCGTCGGGCAGTGGTGCAGACACAGGTGTGGGGTAGGGCGGGGGTGCAGGGTCGGCATGGAGGTGTGCGGGGGCAGCTTTTCCCGGCCCCGCGTCCAGCCCCGGGGAGCGGGGGCGGGCCGGGCCCGCGGCGCCTCCCCCCGCGGCCGCCACCTGTTGCGCTGCCCCTTTAAGGCAGGTGCCCCCGCGTGACGGCGGCGCCGCCCCCCGCGCGCCCATTGGCGCGCGCCGCCGTCAGGTGGACGGTCCGGGCAGGGGCGCCGCCCCCCGCACACCTCGGGGCGCGCGCGGCCAATGGCGGGCGGGCGCTGC